GGCTTCTTTTTGTTGGTGTTCTTGGAATTGTGGGCTTCATTATTTCTTTCTAAAATATCCTTCAGAGCACTCTGGAGAACTGGTTTGGAGCTCATGAATTTCTTGAGTTCTTTGTTACCAAAGTAACATATTTCTACATTGATTTTGAAAGATAGTTTTACACGGTACATCAGTCTGGTTTGGAGGTTGTTTTCTTTCAAGGCTTAAAATACTTTTCTCCAAGCTCTTCTTATCTGAAGGTTAGTGTTAAGATGTCTGCTGTGATTCTAGTGAGTTTCCCCTTCTTTTCTCTGGCCACTTTTAATATTCTATTCTTGTGCAGAATTTCTGAAATCTTGATTATGATACACCTTGGTGTAGATTTATTTTGGTCGTGGTTATTTGGAGCTCTGCATGCCTCACTCACTTGTAATGTCAGTATCCATGTCAGGGAAGTTTTCTGCCATTACTTCTGTGAAGAGTGTTTTGTGGCATTGGTGCCATCTCTGTCTTTCTCATGACTTTGATCAGTCATATTATTTTATGCTTCATCTTGCAGCTGTTCGGTTGATTTTTCATAGTCCCTTATTATATCTAAGATACTTTCTTTTTGTGGTCACTAGCCACAGTCCTGCTTCTAGATCTCATATTCTGTCTTCACCTTCATTTAACCTGTTGCATGTACCCGCAATGGAATTTTTAATCTCCTGTGTATTTGTTTAGCTCTATTTCATAGCTTCCATTTCTGTCATGTTGGGTATTTATGGCTTCCATAATTTTCCTAAGCTCTTTTCCCCCCTTCAGTATCTACTCTAGATTCATTGGGTATGTCTCTCATTTTGATCACCTTTTTTTTAACTAGAGATTATTATTTCTTTTTTTTTCCGCCCCATGTATTTTAGGAAAGGGTCTACAGGGTGTTCAGGGTCTCACTGCTAGATCAGACTCGTAGTGATCCGCTTGTTTACAGCCTCCCAAGAGCTGGAATTACAGGTGCACGCCACCATGCCCAGTCTCAATCGCCATCTCAGCGCACCCCAGGGGTAGGAACAGCACGGCAGGCCTGGGAATCGAACCCCGGCCCCTGTGAATCCACTGAGGTATATTTGACTGGCCCGAGATTATTTTTTCTATAAGCATCTCCTTTTATTTTTTCACTTCTGCTGCTATTATTTTAGAAATTTCCGGGGCTGGAGAGATGGCTCAGTGGTCTAAAGCACCTACTTGGAACAAACTAAGCTTAGCAAAGCACAGGGACCGCGGTTCGATCCCCCAGCACCACATGCCAGCCAGCCGCGCCCCCTGGTGGGCTGAGTTGGCCACACACACACACACACACACAATAAATAAATGTCACACACACACACACACACACAATAAATAAATGTAAAAAAAAAAATTCTTTAAAAAAAAAAGAAATTTCCAGAATGTGGTTTCTGATTTCTTGTATCCCATTGTGCTCTGGACTTGTCCTGGGTAGGCTGGAGTTCTAGAGTTTCATTTATGTTTGTATCTTGTCATTTTCTATTTTCTATTTTATTTTCTGTGTTGATGCTTGCTGATTTCTTATGGTAGATGGCTTTATCAGTAGTGTCAAGGCTTCCTCAGAAAATGTCTGTCTTGGTGAATTTTCTGTCATTCCTGAGACAAAACACTTGACTCCCAAAATTCAAGAATGGGGAGGTTTGTTTATCTCATGGTTTGTGGCTATTTCAGTCCATATTCAGCTGGCTCTGAGGAAGGGTGGTACATGGCAGAGGGCAGCAGTTCATGGAGGCAGAAAACAGCAAAAGCAACAAGAGCAAAAGGGAGGGGCAGCCGAGAGCAAACCTCTCTGCCTCCCTTGTATTGTGTGCAGGCCTCCCCTTGTATCCCAGCATTGAACCATGAGTCAGTCAGAAACCCTAGAAGCCCACCACAGACTGCACAAGGCTTTGGGGGGCCCTCAGACAGGAACCATGATAGTGTCTATTGTTTAGAGATGCTTTCAGGTGTGGGTGGCTCTTGGTCTTCTCGTCTGCCCCAAGTGTCTGCTGTTCCAGCTTATTAACGAGATATTACTAGCTATCTCAGCACACAATTCTGACTGGTGATTGTTGTGACCTCAGACAGTCACAATACTGTTACACAAGGGAGAGCAGTTGGTCTCACTTGGTACGTCCTGGCTGAAGTAGTACCGTTAGCAAACGTCAGAAACAGTCTGGAAACTCATCGGGGGCACCTCTTAATTGAGTGCTTCTAACCATAGGGTTAAAAGTAGTTCTTTAACAAAACCAGACACAGTTCAGGAATTTGTATGCAGTGAAATTTCCCCCAGCAGAGTGATTTTACCCTGTGATGGAGAAATTTAGAAGGACAAAAGAGAGATAAATGCAAAGAAATAAAGGTCAGACAAAGCTGGAGGACAAAAGATGATCACTCAAGCTTTGGAAAACTGGAAAAGAGGGTGGGAGAGAAAAAAAGGAGAAAGCAAATGATTACTGAAACAAACAGGAAAGACTAGAGGCAGTGTACCTTTACATGAAAATGTCGTAAGATCAAGAGAGATAGTTGAAAGAAAAAAAGATGACTAGAACAAAGATACATGCATATTGAGGAGGACAGGAGAGGGAGCAGGGAAAACACATTTGTCTATGTAAGCAGGATGCTTTAGACAGCTGTACTGTGTGCTTCTGCTGGTCTATGGAAAGAAGCAGTTAATGCTTTAATTTCTTTTGTCTCCTTTTCTCAATTGTTTCTACCTTTTTTCTTCTTAATTTCTTACATGTTTCTTTTTTTTCCTCTCTACTTACAATTTTACATGCATATATCTGGTAATACGAGTAACTGGTTGGAAAACAACACTGTATTACAGCAAATACTGTGAAATTCACATTTGTTAAGTGAAAATCTGTATCACTTGTAATTTTTTTCTGTCCTCTTTAAAAATTAAAAGATATATATGTGTGTATAATATGTATGTGTGCATAAACCCCAAAAAGCGAAACAACAGTAAAACCAGTAAACAAAAAAGGAAAATGATACACACAAGCAGGGAAAAAAGAAGAAAAAGTTGCTCTGGTGCCCACCGTTCAGTGGCGGTGTCCAGTTCAGAGGCCACCAAGCCTGCAGAGGGGTTAGTGCGAGATGGAGGAGCTACAGCCACAGCCAGTCTTTGGCCTGTAGGTTTCTGTGTGGCCCACTGCATCTCTTTACTACGCTGTTGGTCTGCGTTGTACTCCTAGTGGCTGTGCCGCCCTCAGACAGGAACCTTCCTGCCCAAGGCTGCTCCTAGTCCTTCATGCAGCCGGGCCTCCTGGACTTCGCACTACCCGCTCCATCCACACCTCCTGGCTCCTCTCACGCGCTGCCTTCCTGTCCCTCCGTGGTGGTCCCAAGTTGGAGGGCTGCTGACCTCCCAGCCCCAGGGTGCTTGCGCCACTGGTCACAGAGTAGAAGAGTGCTAATTTCCCATTGCTTGTCCCCTGTGCTGCAGGTCCCGGTCATGTCCCGTGGTCCAAGTCCCCTGTGCTGATTGTAGGGCAATGGGTCCTGTTGTTTTGCTACCAGTCCTGTACCAGGGCTGGACCTAACCTTGTTGTTGCTAGAGCTTCCAGTTAGCAACTATGTTGTACAATAGCGAGGCAAAAACCAGAACAAAACAAAAGGCAGCCTGCTGAGGAGGGAGCAGCCGCTTTGCCAGTGTGTGCCAGTGACACTGCCGGCTGCAGTGCCCTCTGTGTGCAGGAACTCAAAAGAGATGCGGGGCCTCATGTTGCAGATTGATCCTGTGTGGTTTGAGTTTGCCACACATTTGCACTCTGTTTTAGGGAACTTCCTGGAAATGGCAGTTCCTGCTGCAGTCCCACCAGTGGTAAACCCACAGGCAGCCCTGTGAGCTGTATTTTCAGTCCTGTGCCTGTTTCATTCAAGCCGCAGGTCTATTTCAGATTGATTTTTGACATCAGGATGTATGTCCCTGCCTTGCAGTTACCTGTGTTTTTAGATGATATTCTTTGAGACACTCCAGTGGGGCACCTTTATTCAGCCATGATCAGTCTTCATATAGAGTAGAAACCATGTAGCAGTTAAGGAATGAACCAGATCTGTATATCCACATGGTGAAATGAAAAGACAGTGTTCATGATTGTGGCTTCTAAAGTGTAAACAAATGAGGATATTGGGCTAAGAAAGGTACAAAGGCATCTTCAGTTGCTTTGTCTCCTGGGCACTACCAGCCACAAACTTTGAGTCCTCCCCTCTCAGCCTCCTAAGTAGCTGGGATTACAGGTATGTACCACCACACCCAATGTTGCCATTTTAAAAGTAGTAGTAAAATATACATGAAGCTTAACATTTTAAAGTTCTAGAGTATTAGGCAACACTTAGCAGTCGTTGGCACCATCTGATTCTTACCCAGGTAAAATTCTGCCTGTTAAGCAGCAGTGTCCTGTTCTCTGCCATTCCCTGAGCCCTACAACCACTGCTCTACTTTACGTCTTGATTTTGGCTGTTTAGATTCTTCATACAAGAGTAATGGTGTGATCATATAATATTAGTTCTTTCGTAACTTGTTTCACATGGTATAAGATCCTCAGCTTCCTCCATATTATAGCCTAAGCCAGTATTTCATTCCTTTTTAAGGTTGATTTTCATTATTAAATATCCTAATATTTTTAAGTTTTGGTTGATGATCACAATTTATGTGTTTAGTACAGGGTCTCACTCTACAGATCAGACTCGTAGTGATCCTCTTGTCTTCAGCCCCTCAAGTGCTGGGATTACAAGCACGTGGCACTACGCCCAGTCTCAATTTCTGCCTCAGCACGCCCTGGGAGCACACTGGGGATCGAGCCCCAGTCCCTGTGTCTGCCTAAGCAGGTGCTTTAGTCCACGGAGCTGTTTGGCCTGATCATACATTATTATAGGCACTTTTCAATAGTACTTCAGAAACTTTCCAAAGGAGTTGGCTGATCTAGTACGATACAAGGAAAACCTTACTCTTCGATTCACATAATTAGTGTAATTTATTTCCATTTCAGTGTGACTGCAACGAGGGAGAGCATGGCATACACCGTGGAGGGCCTGCGGGACGACGTGTGCGTACCCACGTGTGTCGGGGTTGTCTTCTGCAGGGACACTGAGCTGCTCGGTTCACGTTTACTATGTTGGCATGACCTGTCAGTTGCGTTTGTGTCACTGCTCACAGCCTCTGCACGGAGCTTTGCTTGGCATAGGGTAGAAAGCATTACAGGGCGGAGAGCCTTGGCTGTCGACCCATAACCCTTGCTGTGATATTTTCCACAGTGAGATCTTAATGGAGTTCCTGCTAAACGTGACCACAGCACCAGAATTCCGTCGTTGGGAAGTAGCTGATCTTCAGCCACAGCTAAGAGTTGACAAAGCCGTGGCTTTTCAGAACCCACAAACTCGTGAGTGCATTTTCAGATTAGCCGGTTTCTAGGGTTCCTGCTTTTTGAGGTTATTATACAGAGAAAATTGTCGTTAAAGTGTTTTCCTACCTGAGATTGAAAATACCTTTTCCAGAAATTTGGTCAATTACTTCAGCTTACTTGTTCATTTATTTGTGTATTTATTTTGATACCAGAAATTGAAGTGCTTGTGCCCCCCAGCGCTGTTCTTTTATGTCTAAGTACTTTTTTTGTTATCTTTCATATTTCATGATAAATAAATTGATTATAGCATGCTAGATGATTTTTCCTGTTTTCCTCTTTTTTTAATGCAATAATTGTTTTGCTTACACCAAACCCGGCAATAGTTTGTTTTTTACTGTCTCTGTTATTACTTACTATTATATATTGCTGTTGTTTAATCAGCTCCCATTAATTGAGTTTCCAGAACTCTGTAAACAAGCACTGCTAACTCTTAGAAGTTGCACATCTTCTGGTGAGAGCAGAAAGGGTAGGAGGACGTGCTGTAGGAGCCCAGCCTGGCATGTGCTTTCCGGAGAAGGCAGGCCTGCTGGTAAAGTGTCGGGTGCCTGGAACCTGTAAGACTTAAGGCTTTACCCTTGCAGCTCACTCCACCTCCCCTGAGGCCCTTGCTGCACTTCTGCTGTGCTGCTCTTGCGATACATCATTGCATAATGTTGTCCTCTCAACGTGTTGAGGGACATAGATACATTTTATCTGTATCTGTGAAAGCACAGTGCCTGCCATAGGGAAGCTGCCCCACCAGTGAACACCTGCAGGAAATACAGCTACAGTGAAGGCACCAAGGGCCACTCGGAGCCGGGTCCCAGGGAGGCGTGACCCTGGTCAGTGCTGCTACCTGCCCCCATAAGCTAGTAATGGCATCCAGGACTGACACTTCCATAGCTCCCTGTGTCCTGATAATGCTCTCGTTACCTAGAGAGAGTGTGAGGTAAGTAAAATTCAGATTAAGCTGGGTTGGGCTGGTGAGATGGCTCAGTGGTCTAAAGCACCTACTCAGAACAAGCTTAGAAAAACACAGAGACCTCGGTTCAATCCCCCACCACCACATGCCAGCCAGCCCTGCCCCCAGGTGGGCTGAGCTGGCCACACACACAGAAAGAAAGAAAGAAAGAAAGAAAGAAAGAAAGAAAGAAAGAAAGAAAAAGATTAAGCTGGGTTGGCAGTGCAGCCCTGCAATCCCAGCCCTCAGGAGACTGAGACTAAGGCAGGAGGATCACCATAAGCTGAAGGCCAGTGTGGGCTACACAATGCACTCAGGACGAGCGTAAAACTTCACAGCAAGACCCTGTCTCAAAAAAAATAAATAAATAAAATTCAGATTAAATGACTTGCATGAGGTTACATGGCAAGGTGGTGGCAGAACCAGAACTAGATTCAGACTCTGCAGCCTAGTCCTCACACTGTCGAGATAAGGCCAGGTGGAAGTGTCTAGGTGGGTTTTGTCAAGGCGTATATATAATCTCTTTTCCTTAGCACATTCGACTGGCAGCATTTTAGAAGTTACTAGAAGTAAATCCCATAAATTGAGAACTTGAGCCAGGAATTCAAGTGCAGCCTGGACCACATAGTGAGTTCAAGACCAGCCTGAACTGTATAGTCAGATCCTGTCTGAACTGAAAGAGGGGCTGGTGAGATGGCTCAGTGGTCTAAAGCACCTACTTAGAACAAGCTTAGCAAAGCACAGGGACCGCGGTTCAATCCCCCAGCACCACATGCCAGCCAGCCCCGCCTCCTGGTGGGCTGAGCTGGCCACACACACAAAGAGAGAGAGAGAAAGGTAGCCTTTAAAAAAAAAAAACTGAAAGAAAAAAAGGAGGGGCCAGGGAGGTAGCCCAGGGCACAAGCGCATGCCTGGTAAGTGCAAGGTCCAGAGTTTGATTGCTAGTATCAAAGAAAAAAGTTCCTGCTAGTAAAGTGTTAATAAATGTAAGTCCTAAAAAAAATAATATCAGTTCTCTTACTACTTGAACACCAAATTTGTGTAGGCAGACTTGTTACTCTCAGTTTTAAAACTATCATTATGGTCTTTACTTAAACTACAATTCAGTAATTATTTCTTTTCTTTTGAATAGGTGTCATTGAAAATTTGCATGCTGTTGCTTACCGGAATGCCTTGGCTAATCCCTTATATTGTCCTGACTATAGAATTGGCAAAGTGACATCAGAGGAGGTAACTGGTAAAACGTACTCATCTAAACATTAAATTGAGTAGTCATCTACCATTCCAAGATGTTTACTGATTTTTCTTCCTCTAACTTTAAGAAATTCAACTTGCTTCATTTTTCCTGTGAACTTCCTTTTTAACTAAAATTTTTAAGAAAAGTTCAACAAGCTGAGTGTGCTGTGCGTGCCTGTGACACAAAAGCCGAGGGAGACCATCCCTGCCAGTGTGAAGCCAGCCTAAGCTGTCTGGCAAAACTGTCTCAAAAAGCAAAACAAAACAAAACAGTTTTGATAAAAAGAGATATGCACAACAACAAAATCTCACCTATAGGTAGTGTATCTTTTGTATGCCCTTTTCTGTGTATGTGTATCTTTTTAATAAAAACTATTTTTTCTTTTTTTTTTTTAACATATTTAGTACAGGGTCTCACTACATAGATTGGACTCATAGTGATTATCCTGTTATCAGTCTCCCAAGTGCTGAGATTACAGGCTCATGCCACCACGCCTAGTCTCAACCCCCATTTCAGCATGCCCCAGGGGCGGGGCCAGTTCGGCATGCTGGGGATTGAACTTTGACCTCTGTGCTTTGCCTAAGCAGGCGCTAAAACAGTATTTAAGTTTTTAAATACCATAGTAAATCCTTTAACCAAAAATGTTTGGTCTGAGTATGTCTGGTGCTCGCTCAACGCTGCCGACCTTGCAAGTGCACCAGCCACACTGCGTGGTGCAGATTTATCGCACATCAAGCCCTGGGGTGCTGCAGAACTGCATCCAAGGGGAACAACCCACTCGGGCACCCCTCCTATCCTTCTCTTGGACAGGAGCTTTCTTTTTCTCAATAAATATATTCTGCTCATAACCTCAAAAAAAAAACCAAAAAACTGCATCCAAGGCAGGAAACACTGCATGTTAGATTACTGGTGTAGATTTGTGCATGTAGTTCTAGCTGCCTACTTCTACTATCCACACACACCCCCAAAAAGTTTATCAAATGACATTAAGAAGAAAATTAACTTTCTCCTTGGCGGCCTGCAGAAACCACAGGGAGCAGGTGGGATAGCAGAGGGCATGGTGGGCGGTGCGGCAGGGCTCTTCGCCGAGCAGGTGCAGACGTTCAGCAGGGCTCAGGAGAAGGTACTGCGAAAGTTGGGGAAAACTGTAGAAACCATAGATGAACAATTTGAACAAAGTGCTGGTGACGTCTGCCAACAACAGACAGGAGGCCATGAGCTGTACCAGGACTTGACGAACTTCCTTAGTGCAGTCAGAGCGATACATGAAAGTTCCAGGAGAGTGTCAGGAGAATCTACAGCAGCGAGTGGGATGGGCACAAGGAGCTGAAGGCCATCATGGGGTATACTGATCTCCTTTGGGAAGACTGTGACGAGAAACTGGCTGACCGGGCTTTGAGGACCATGAGAAACTGTGTGGCTCAGTTCAGTGAGATGGAGTGAATTGCCAAGCAGGGTTGGAAACTTGTGGACTATGACAGTGCCCGACACCACCTGGAGGCAGTGCAGAATGCTAAGAAGAAAGGTGAGGCCAAGACTGCCAAGCAGAGGAAGAGTTCAACAAAGCCCAGCTTGTATTTATAGATCTAAACTGGGAGCTGTTGAGGAACTGCCTGTTCTTTGTAACAGTTGTATTGGCTGTTATGTGACCGTCTTCCAAAATATTTCCTTATTTATTTATTTATTTATTGGTAGAACCAGGGATTGAACTCGGGCCCTTGCACTTGCCAAGCAAGCGCTTATTCTACTGAGCTATCTTCCCAGTCTTGCTTTTTTATTTTTTTAATATTTCCAACTTGAAGCATATTTTCTACAGAGAGATGAGCAAGCTCAACCATAGTCTCTACGAGGTAATAAGTAAACTGGAGTAAAGCATTCCCACAAAGTCTTTGTGATGAAGGGAATGCAAAGCAGTGGCAGGTGTTCTTTAGTCCTCTCTTCCCCAGTTCAAATATCAACCAGCTCCAGTCCCTCTGCACTTTCCCTGACGAGTGAGAATGAAGCAACTGAGGAAGAGCTGACACCTGATGCAGCCCAGAGAGAAAGCCATTCTGAGATTCAAGAAGAGTATTTAAAAGATGAGGGAATGGAAGAGGGTGGGTCTGAAGCAAGCTCCTCCCAGGAGGAAGAGCCTCTGCCAGCCTGCAGTGGCCCAGCCCTCTCCCACCACTGAGGCTAACAAGTCCCAGGAGGAAGCTCTCCCTTTCTCCCCAGCTCTTTCACCAGGGAGCTCTGACCCCTTCAGAGCAGGCTCCCTCCCTCCCAGAGGTAACCCTCTGAGCCCGGGCCTCAGACGAAGGATCTGTGCAGGGGACCTCAGTGCCCTCTAGTAGGCCTCTTCCTCCCAGAGCCCCTCCAAGCCCCAGGGCCCTCTTAGAGACTGGGACTCCCAAGTCCTGGGGCCTCCTTAGAGGCAAGTCCTGATCCAGAGCCACTGGAGAAGCCACTGCAGTCTCCTGAGGCCAGAGAAAAGCAAGACACCCCTGAACAGAACCCAGAAGAATTTTGCACTTCCTCCAACTTGCATGCTTCTCAGGGTTTTGCAGAGCCTGAGATTGGAAGAAAATGGAAGAAGAAGAAAAGAACAGTAAACTTAGCTCAGCTGACTCTTCTGAGGGCCATGGTGATCAGCTTCATTTCCCTGTGGTCCTAGGACAAAAAGGTGTAACACCTGAGCCTCCAGAAGAGGTTTCTGCAAATCAGAATGTAGAAGTCTGAAGAGGAACTGGCAAGACCGCCTCTGCACACATCTACCCAGAGAAGCTTCCCAGCCGGAGGGGATAAATGCAAGGGGCACAGAATCAGCATCCCCACCTGGCTTCTCGGGGTACAAATGCTGGAAGTCCCTAAAGACGTGGCATTAATGGTGGCTGAGGAGCAGTCTTACGGGAGGGGTGGAGGGAGGCAGGCTTGGAGAGAATGATTAGACTCAGGAAATACTTTAATTCAGGTTTTAGTATCAGCAATGAGACTTTTATATAATAAAATACATCATAAGGACTATAAAAAACAAAGGTACCTATAGACACAAACACTTGTCCACAGAGACACAAAGCCACACATACTCAGAAGATTGTCAACAGATCTTTCACTTTGCAAGGCTGGAAGGCTAAAGAACAAATGTTCAGATTGTTAAAGTATGGTTTTGACTAAAAAAAAAAAAAGAAAAAGAAAAGAAAATTAATATTCTCAACACATTAAAAATTAAACTTTTAATCCCATTTCATTACTGGCTAGCTGCTACCAAAAACCAAGCGATATCCCTTTCTCATTTGACTTAACACCTTCCACTCCTAAAGGTCCTCTTACTCAGAATGATTAATCATATGATCCAGCTTGAACTGGCAACATTCTTCCTAAGACTGGTCTATAATGAGTTTTAAAAGTTTTCAGAAATTTCATCTTTGCAAGGAATGGTTGTTGAGGTAGCCAAAAATAATGGCTTAGCAAAACCTTTATCAGCAAGGCTATTATAGCTTTGATTTTTAATAGTGAAGAAAACCAAGTTAATGTCCAACATTAGATGAGTAAAGTAACTTACTCAGTAACTGTAGCACTGGGTGTGGTGACCACCCTATAACCCTAGCACCCAGGACGCTGAGGCAGGACTGTCATGAGTTCAAGGCGCCTGTGCTGCACAGTGAGTTCAGAACCAGTTTGAACTACTTTGTGAGACTGTCTCACAATAACAGAAAACCTGTAGAAGCCAGACTAGTCAGCCGTTGTACGGTATTACTGATACTGCAAGGTTTCTGCAGGGTATTGCCAAGTAAAGTGCTGTACTGCCTGCCAGAGGGCCCTGTATGGGTTTTTCTGAGCGTTGAACCCAGGGCCTTGGCACTGACCTGCAGTGCCACCTGATTTTTAAATTTATTTTGAGACAAGGTTTCACTAAGTTGCTGAGCCTGTTGCATCAGCCTCCCGTTTTTGGGTGATCCTATGTATACCACCATGCCTACATGGAAAGCCCCCAATTTTAAGAAAGTGTCAGGCACAAATACCAAGTTTTAACCATGATAAGCTGATTCTTTCAAAGTTACTAATTTTTTTTAAATGTCTCCCCAGACTAAAGGAAATTTTAAAGAAATTGGTAATGGATCCTTCAGGCCTCAGTATAAAGAAGTGCCTGTAGGATGGAAGCCTGACTCTCCAGAGGCTCTCCATAGAGAGCTGCCCTGCAGAGCCGGGCGTGGTGGTGCGCACCTGTGATCCCAGCCCTGGGAGGCTGAGTTTCCAGAGGCACTGCATAGAGAGCTGCGTGCAGAGCCAGGCATTCTGGTGCCCACCTGTGATCCCAGAATGAAAGCCTGACTCTCCAGAGGCACTGCATAGAGAGCTGCCATGCAGAGCCGGGCGTGGTGGTGCGCACCTGTGATCCCAGCCCTGGGAGGCTGAGGTCCCCAAGAGTTCGAGGCCAGCCTGGCTATGTAGTGAGTTCAAGGCCAGCGAATTACATAGCAGGACACTAGCTCAAAAAAAAGATAAGTGCCATTCATTTTAGAGCATAACTTCTGATATACTGATTAAAAGTTTAAAGTTTATTTCATCACTTCAGTCAGTTTGTCCTGGCCTGTCTTTTTCCTTCCCCAGGGCACTTTTCTGTAAATGAATGCACTTAATGCCATGGACATGGGTCTGCTTGTGTGCTGCAGATGTCTGCAGTGTGTGTTTCCGTGTATACTGAACATGGAATATTTATATTACAGCTTATGTTACGGTAAATGTTATATATGTAGTAAGTACACAGTGTGTATTACTTTGTTTCTAAAAATAGGTTTTTTCTTAGCTCCAAGAACCACGTTTCTGGGCCTAGATGGAGTAGTCATATTTTTGAGAATATGTTTCAGCTCTGTTTCTGAATATTAAGCCTAAGGTAATAGGATAAACCATGGTTGGCTTCAGAGATAGGCAAGAAGGGTACATAGTGCTAACAGCTTTACTAGACCTGCCATAGGCTGTTTGTAATTTAAATACATAACTGGATAAAAACAAATCTCATTTGCTACTTGAACCACATAATAATAAAAATCATAAGTTCATTCCCATTTTTAAAAGTTTAATTAACATAATTTTTTTAATGTATGTAGTACAAGGTCTACAGGATGTCACTGCACAGATCGGACTCATGCTGGACCTCCTGGTTGCAGCCTCCCAAGCGCTGGGATTATAGGCTTGTGCCACTGTGTGCCAGTCTCAATCCTCATCTCTGTGCGCCCCAGGGGCAGGGCTGCCACAGGATGGGGATTAAACCCTGGTCCTCTAGGGCTAGCCTAAGCAGGCACTTTAGTCGGCCGAGCTATCTGGCCGGCCCTGAGTTAACATATAATTTTAATTCCTTTTTTAACTAATGCCTTCATAGAGATGTGATTCACATACTGCACATACTATTTAAAAAGCATTTAGCGTTGTATACCCATGACTATGATTAAGTTCTTTTTTATAATAAAATTGAGGAGTAATTCAGCAGTAATTAGTCCCTGATTTTTCAATATAGCAGCATTGAAGCTTGGATAATTATTTTCTGTCAAACTGCTTTTGTCTTCTTTGGATT